CTCGCCAAGTTGCCCAGGCGGGTCTCGAACCCGTGGGCTCAGGCAATTCACTCACCTCAGCTTCCCAAAGTGTGGGATTACAGGCTGAGCCACCAAGCCCGGCTGATTATATATATTAAATAAACTGCATTTGTTATTTTTATTTTTTTGTAGAGTTGAGGTCTCCCTATGATGGTCTTGAACTACTGGGCTCAAGCAGTCCTCCTGCCTTGGCCTCCTAAAGTGCTGGGATTACAGGCGTGAACCTCTGCCTAGCCTGAATTTATTTTATTGAAGTATATCTGTTTATAAATCACAAAAGTTAAGTTTTATTCTGTTTAAAAATAAAGGCCGGGCTCGGTGGCTCAGCCTGTAATCCCAGCACTTTGGGGGGCCTAGGCAATTGGATTGCCTGAGCCTGCAGGGTTGAGACCAGGCCAGGCAACTTGGTGAGACCCCGTCTCTACAATAAAACAAAAATTAGCTAGGTGTGGTAACGCGCACCTGTAGTTCCAGCTACTTGGAAGGCTGAGGCAGAAGGATTGTCAGAACCCAGCAGGTCAACGCTGGGGTGGCCGTGAATGTGCCACTGCACTCCAGCCTAGGCGACAGAGTGGAATTCCAACTTAAAAAAAAAAAAAAATTAGAAGTTTTTGGGGTCGGGCTCGGTGACTCAACCTGTAATCCCAGCACTTTGGGAGGCTGAGGTGAATGAATTGGCTGAGCCCACGGGTTCGAGACCCACCTGGGCAACTTGGCGAGACCTCATCTCTACAATAAATCAAAAATTAGCAGGGCGTGATAGCATGCGCCTGTAGTTCCAGCTACTTGGAAGACTGAGGCGGAAGGATCGCCAGAGCCCAGCAGGTCGAGGATGCGGTGGCTGGGAGCAGCCACTGCACTCCAGTCTGGGTGACAGAGTGAGACTCCAACTCAAAAAAAAAAAGAAGTATTTGGGATTTTGTAGAAAAGCTGTGATCTCTCTTCCCAAAGATGAGTAGAGGTGTTAAGGGTGTGTGACCACCTGTATACAGTCTTTGTTGTTACTATTATCAGTTTACAAGTGTTATTATTTAAGCACTATAAATTTCAAGCAGAAGAGTTGTCCAGAGTTAAGTCTTAAATGGAAAAAATTTAGCTGCAAGGCATTTCCCAGTTGTGATTCATGGAGATTCTAGTTTTCCTTTTGTAGGCATTATAGTTTGTGGGAGAAGCTGATCTAACTTCAGTTTAAAAAATAAGTGAAATGCTGGGCACGGTGGCTCACGCCTATAATTCCTGCACTTTGCGAGGCAGAGGTGAGAGGATTGTCTGAGCCCACAGGTTCGAGAACAGCCTGGGCAACATGGCAAGACCTCGTCTCCACAATAAATTATTATTATTTTTTTATTTTTATTTTTTTTGAGTTGGAGTCTCACTCTGTCGCCCAGACTGAAAAATATGATATAATTCAACAACAATGCACATTTCTGTAAAAACACAACTGAAACAGTAATTTAGATATCAAGGAAAAGAACTGCTAATCACATTAGTGCATTACAGAAGTCAATATTAATTTAGCACACAAAATCAATTAAAACATGAAGTATTAATCTTTTTTAGTTCAAGTATATATAGAAGCCAAAGTAGCAAGTTTTTTAAAAAAAAGCATCAGGTTTGCTATAATAATGAGAATCTGAACATTTT